ATTTCATGTTTTCATTGTTTTTCTCTGCTGAGTAGTACTCCATTGTGTATATGTACCACATTTTTTCCATCCATTCTTTCGTTGATGGGCATCTAGGTTGTTTCCAGGTTCTGGCTATTACAAATAGTGCTGCTATAAACATAGCTGAGCATGTATCTTTATGGTATGAATCAGCATTCCTTGGGTATATGCCCAAGAGTGGTATGGCTTGGTCTTAAGGTAGTTCGATTCCTAATTTTCTGAGAAACCGCCATACTGATTTCCACAGTGGTTGTACAAGCTTGCATTCCCACCAACAGTGGAGGAGTGTTTCCTTTGCTCCACATCCTCTCCAACATTGGTTGTCATTAGTGTTTTTGATCGTAGCCATTCTGACAGGTGTAAGGTGGTATCTCAGAGTCGTTTTGATTTGCATTTCTCTGATGATTGAGGATGTTGAGCATTTCTTTAAATGTCTTTCAGCCATTTGTGATTCTTGTTTTGTGAATTCTCTGTTTAGCTCTTTAGCCCATTTTTTTAACTGGACTGTATAGTATTTTGATGTCTAGTTTCTTGAGTTCTTTATATACTGTGGAGATCAATTCTCTATCAGATGTGGGGGACCATCTTTTTAAATAGTAAAATAAGGATAATTAAACAAATAATATGCATAATTGATTTTACATACATCCCATCAACATTAATCCTCTCATGCAATTGCTTCATTTTCAGACTGCCTAATGTGTTATCAAACAAAGATCAATTTCTTTCCATTGTAAAGATATTTTCCCTTTTTTATAATGTGGGAAATTTTTTTCTCTTTTAACTAGTTTCTCCCTTTAAGATATCTGATATCTTAATTGACTTACCAAGTCTGTGTAGAACAGTACAAGTCCAAGGGAATTTCTCAACAGCTACCTAGAGTGGTTGCAGTTTGAGATAGGAATCCAGAGAGAGAGAGAGAGAGAGAGAGAGAGAGAGAGAGAGAGAGAGAGAGAGAGAGAGAAAGAAAATACCTACTACCTACCAGGAGAAGGGAAAGAAGCTAAAAGCTAAAATCCAGCCACGTGCTCTGGCTTGAGCCGTTTTGGCCTGAGACAGGGGTCTATAAACTCACAAGTGGTCTAGCTGCTAAGAGCTCCAGCCTTTTTAAGCTATGGCCACGTGCGTTGGAGGTCTGGCTGCAAGTAGCTCCAGCTGCATATATCCAGACCGCTTGTAGCTACAGTCAAGTACAGCTCTGGCTGTATGTAGCCGGACCACTTGTAGTTCCAGCCTAGGCCTGGGGCCTGTAAACTCTGGGCTGTAAGGCCACCAATGGTTTTTTTTTTTTATGAATTCTTGCCATTTGGGTGCCAAATGTAGACAAATTTCTAAACTCTCTTATTAAATGAGAAACAGAGCCAAATACAAAGGTAATAGCCAAAGACATCAGTGAATTATCGAATAGCCATGACTAGCCTTAGCTTACCACCATGCTGTAGCTTCTCTGGAGAGAGAGCTTCTTCCTCTCTAACCTGAAGGAGAAAGGCAGAACAGAGGCGAGGCTGCCAGCCGCTGCCCTGAAAAGCAAGATGTAAAGATACCAGTAAGCCAAGAGCTCTGTGGCAAGGTATAGACTTATAGAAATGGATTAATTGAAGATGTGAGATCTAGCTAGCAAGAAGCCTGAGCCATTAGGCCGTACAGTTTTAATTAATATAAGCTTCTGAGTGATTTTTTTTTAAGTGGCTGTGGGACTGTAGACCATGGGAGCCGGGTGGAACCAGAAAACTTTCAGTAACAGGGTTTCTCTGTGTAACTGTCTGGCTGTCCTGAAACTTACTTTGTAGACCAGGCTAGCCTCAAACTCACAGAGATTCACCTGCCTCTGCCTCCCAAGTGCTGGGATTAAAGGCATGCACCACCACCAGCAGCATTTTTAGCATATTGTTATCATAATTTAAAATCTTTTGGTCTCACACACATAATGCACATAAGTAAAAATAGATAAACCTTTAAAGTAAAATAGAAACAGTCTCCCAAAACAATCATCACCACAGCAAAACTAAATATCTACCCCACCAAGTGAAAATAAGGTAATATACTATAAGAGGTTTTTTTTTTGTGTGTGTTGGGGGTCCTTTGAGACAGGGTCTTGCTATGTAGCCCTGTCTGGTCTGAAACTCACTATGCATTGTGTGATATTTTGGATTACATTCTGATGCTCCCAAGACTACCAATAAAAATTTGCCTTTAATCAGAGGACAGAGCTAGCTACTAGCTGACCAATGTTAACCATACATTTGGAAGACTGAGGACAGATAGACAGGAAGTAGTAGGGTGTGGCTTAGAGAGGGTCTTAGCCCTTTTTGGATCAAGGAATATGTGTGAGGGAGGTTTATCCCATCTGAATCTGTCTTATTTTTAATCTATTGCTTTAAAATGCAATGTGGCTAGGACAGACACATGAGAAATGAAGTAGAAAGCTGTTTTTGTCTTCATTATTGTGTGTTTACAAGCCGTTTTTAAACTCTTTTAGGCCTTATTGAAATTTGAGAGCCCTGCGTTGGTATGCCATATGTAGTTATATGTTTGTTCTGGTCCCACCAAGCCTCTGCAGTCCTGTGGCCTGCTTATAAAATAATCACTCAGAAGCTTATATTAATTATAACTGCTTGGCCATTAGCTCAGGCTTATTACTGACTATCTCTTACACTTAAAATAACCCATAATTCTTTATATTTTGCCGTGTGGCTTGATACTTTTTCTCAGTTCTGCCTTGTCATATTGCTTCCTCTGTGTCTGGCTGCCGACTTCTGATTCAGCCCACCTCTTCCCAGAATTCTCCTCGTCTCTCACCCTGCCTATACTTCCTGCCTGGCTACTGGTCAATCAGCATTTTATTTATCAACCAATCAGAGCAACACATATTCACAGCATACAGAATGACATCCCAATGCATGTACACAATGTGTTTTGATTTTGCCCATTCCTTCTTTCCTCCCTCCATCCAACTCCTTTTGGGACCCACCACCCTTGTTGTTAATGCTGCCATTACTTGGTCATTCCCTTGTGTTTGTGTCCTTCCAGGTCGCAGTTTCATTGATGATTTTTCAAGCTTTCTATGTGGAGATTGAATAATCGGCTTCATAATCATTCCTTTGTTATCCTTTTGCTCATTTGAAGCTTATTTTAGAATATTCTCTTTGGATGTCTTTTTATTCATTGAACTTTCAGTACTTCTAGCAAATCTCTTTATATGATCAGGAATGTTACATTAACTATGAATACATTGATATAAAATATCAAAGGTATGAAGTGTGATCCTGGACTTGAGGAAGGACACTTCCCCATTACCATTTAAAGAGTACGATATTGGGTTCTCAAAGTATTGTAAATATGGATAGAACTTATAGGGTCTTAACCAATATTTTCATTCTCATACTTACTGGCATTTATTATTATTTGTGTGTATGTGTATGATGTGTTCATGTGTGTGGATATATAGAGTGTGGAGCATTTATCCACCAACCCCACAGCTCCCCAGAGTTTTCTTGAGTGTGAGCAGCAGGAAATATTAGATAGAAGGATTTAGAGTGTGGAGATAAACAGATAGAAAATAAAGGATAGCCTCGAGAGGGTCTGGAACCTTTTCCAATGGGCCCCGACTGTCTCTGCCCCAGGGTTTTTATAGAGACGCCAAGGGGTGGAGCAAAAAACCTCCTCCCCCAGCACAGCCAAGTGCAGACCATCTCAGACACCTGCACTCAGGCCCGTGGTCCTAATCATCCTCTATGCGGACCTGCTGGGTAAAGCCACGAGGAACCCAAGAACAGGCTCCCACAATAGAGTTCAGAGGTTAACATCAACATTTCTTTGTCATTTTCCACCTTTGAGACATGTTTCTCACTGAAACTGAACCTTACCGTTTAGCCTAGATTGGTCATCAAGACTCCAAGGTCTTCCTGGAGGTGCCACCCACAGGCATGTGCCACCATAGCCAGCTTTTTCATGGGTGCTGGAGGGGATCTAAGCTCAGTTCCTCTGCTTGAGCAGAAAGCACTTTCCACACTGAGGCATCTCCTTAGCACTCTTCCTGACATTTCTGAACTATGTCCTACTTTGTGAACTCCTAATCAGGCCTCCTACAGTGGTATAATAGTGGCCCTTGATCCCATCATTTGAACTGAAAGGTTTGCTAGCCAGTTCTCCATCTTTCTTGGTATCAACTATATTAAAGTAAAATTATAAAACCATCACCATGTAAACATGGAGTAAACTGAAATATTGTTTCCTAAAAGAAATGAAACTTCATTTAGTTTAATGAACTCTTATAATTATGTCGTCATTTTTTTTTTCTCGAGACAGGGTTTCTCTGTGTAGCATTGCGCCTTTCCTGGAACTCACTTGGTAGCCCAGGCTGGCCTTGAACTCACAGAGATCCGCCTGGCTCTCCCTCCGGAGTGCTGGGATCAAAGGCGTGCGCCGCCGCCGCCGCCGCCGCCGCCGCCGCCGCCGCCGCCGCCGCCGCCGCCGCCTGGCCATTTATTTTTTTTAAGTCATACAAAGTAGTGATTTTTGTTGTGGCATTTTCATACTATGTACCATTATGCTCCAATGTTCTAATTCATCCTTTTTACAAACAATCTTGAGTGCCCGTGATAAGCAGAAATTCTTGTAGGCATGATAAGACATGACTGGGCAAATTAAGTGACTTTTGAGAGGACCATAACACACACACATAATAATAATAATAATAATAATAATAATAATAATAATAATAATAATAATCTTTTGCTTCTTTCCAGAGAGTGGGCCATGGTGATGACAACCATGCAGATGCTGACCGGTCACCTATATTTCTTCAGTTTATTGATTGTGTTTGGCAGATGACAAGACAAGTAAGAGATTTCAAGTATATTTCTATTATAGTCTTTGATTCAAATATATCTCATAGTTGAAAATTAAATTTCCATTGCTATTTCATTCAAAATGAGGGTGTATATGTGTTAAAAACCACTCCTTCTATTACTCAATACAGTTTGAGTATTCTCAAACAGAATTCTCATTCACTTAAAGATGTGAACATAAAAGTAGAAACAGTTTTCTTCTGCAGTGGTTTTGGTCAATCCTTTTATCCACTAACTGTGCAAATCAAGGCCCAAATCCACAGTTAATTCTGCTTCTATCTTTTCCCCTTTGTCAGTCCTCTGCTGAGCACTTACTCTAAGATTTCATCCCACCTTAGAACTGTTAGCTAAATGAATCAGTCCACGGCATCTGAGAATCTTCATACTCTGCTCCATGCCATAGCCCTTCACACACCAGAGTCACTGAGATAAATGAGTATCTAAGAGTCAATAAGAGAGGAAGCTTGGGAGCTTTTTGTCCTAAGTTGTGGTTTTATCTTTGTAACTCCACTGAACAGGGCTCTGGTAAGCAAGAAAACATACAGGGATTCACCATTCCTTGAATTAATCAGGCCCTGCAGCTTCACTTTAAATAGGGCCCATTCAGATATTCCCTTATCTCTAACATCCAAGTCTGAGATTAGAATCTTAGCCTTGGAATAGGAGACTGTGCCAGACACATGAACTTGGACCCAGAAAAGAGAGAAAAGGCAGAGCAGTTTTTCCCAGTGTGTGCTATTCTGCCTGGCTTGTGTGGGAGTAAGTTGGAGATAGAACCAGGGCCTGTTCCTGTGCATCTGTGAGAAACTCCTGGCCATCTTCAGGGCTCCTCCAAATGCCTTGATGTTCATGTTTGATGCTCCTGAAAGCCTTTTCAAATTTCTCAGAGGATATTTATCTCCTCACTGTGGAAAGCTATGAATTATCATCCTTGTTTGCTTACTGTGGGCTACTATTACTGGTAGAAGTATGTGGGGATGACAAAATACTCTGCTGCCATCATGGTATAGACTGCTTCCCAGCAGCATCTCCTGGGAACTTAGTGGCCATACCAACTCTAGACCCACTACAGACCTTTTGATGCTCAAAGCTAGAGCCAACACTCTGGGGCTCCTAAGCCCTCCAAGTGATTCTGATATTTGAGGGCACAGTGTTGCTTGAATTTTACATGGACTTATAATAAAATCCTGGAGCCAGATATTGGGGTAAATGCTGAAAGAGACAAAGGAACAAGCCACTGCCACATCTCACTTTCATCAGCTCCATGAATCCTCTGACTTAATACCTCTGAGTCCTCAGCCAGAAGGCTTCCTCAGCTGAAAGGGATCCAGCCGAAAAGGCTCTCAGCTGAGAAGGGCTTCAGCTGAAAAAGCCTCAGGCGAAAAAGCTTCAGCTGAAAAAGAGGCTTTACTTCCTGTCTCCTCACACCTTATATACCTTTCTCCACCCAACCATATTACTTCCTTCCTAGGGTTGGGATTTAAGGCATGTGTGCTTCCCAAATACTGGTAGCAGAGCCATGAGATCTCAAAGGCTGGGATTAAAGGTGTGAGATTCCCAAGTACTGGGATTAAAGATGTGTGCCACCACTGCCTGGCTCTGTTTTCTCTCCTAGACTGAATCAATCTCATGTAGTCCAGCGTGGCTTTGAACTCACAGAGATCCATCTGGTGTGCTTGGATTAAAGGTGTGTGCCACCACTGCCTGACCTCTATGTTTAATCTAGTGGCTCTGTTCTTTGATCTTCAGGTAAATTTTATTAGGATACACAATATATCACCCCAGCACAGTGCTAGACCAGCCCAGCTGGAACTTGAATCAGCACATGAATCTGTGGTGATATTGTGTTCCTCAATATAGTGCACCCTAATAAACTTGTTTGGGGGTCAGAGAACAGAACAGCCACAATATTAAACATAGAGGTTAGGCAATAGTAGCACACATGCCTTTAATCCTACCATTTGGAAGGCAGAGATCCATCTGGATCTCTGTAAGTTCAAAGCCACATTGGAAACAGCCAGGCATGGTGACTCACACCTTTAATCCCAGGAAGTGATGGCAGAAAGCTGAAAGATATATAAGGCGTGAAAACCAGGAACTAGAGCCTGATTAAGCTTTTAGGCTTTTGAGCAGCACTTCAGCTGAGATTCATTCTGGATGAGGACTCAGAGGCTTCCAGTCTGAGGAAACAGTATCAGCTGAGGAATTGGCAAGGTGGGGTGGCTGTGGCTTGTTCTGCTTCTCTGATCTTCCAGCATTCACTCCAATACCTGGCTCCAGGTCTGTTTTTATTAACAAAACCTTTTAAGATTCATGCTACATGAATCCCCTGAGGTTCTTATTAAAATATCAGAACGTGAGTCAGTGACTGTATCCTGAAGTTTGCAGAGCTGCTTTTTTGATGCTATGAGTTCACAGACTGTGGCAAGGGCCAAGAATCCGCCCTACCTTTCAAGAATGAGAAACAAGGGGAAAGGATTTGGAATAGATCTTACAGGCCATAACTTGGAACAGGCTCTTACCTTACACTTAGCATCAGCAAGCTGACAAGCATCTTAATTTAACTGAGTTCCATGTCATAGAGGATTAAAAATAGTAGGTCTGAGGGGAGCATGCCCAAGTGAAAAGTAACAGAAACGACAGGCTGAGAAGGCCTAGATGCTGGATGGAAGTCCTTCTGTTTATGGTATCCTACTAATGACAAAAATCAATGGTTGTTCCATTCAATAAAAGAAAGCATGAAACACATTTAAGAAAAATTACTTTAAAATTTAAATGGAAAAAGTGAAAGCCATCTCATGGATATGAACTAGCTCATTTTCCCCAAATGCACATTGGCATGCATATGTGTGTCAATCCTTTCAAATTGACCTCCATTTCTCATACTGATTAGTGCTTATTTTTACCTCAAATCTGTTATTTTGTGCTGCTTATTGGTTTTTAAGAAAGAAAATAAGGGGTTTGGGTGGAATAGTTCAGGGGCTTCTTACAACTCTCTGATTCTGTTCATTAAATGTGTGTGTGTAATTTTTCTTAAAATAACATTAGTACCTAAGGAGAGGAGATAAGTGGTAAGGGTTTAGCTATAAGTCAAAAAATGATTTTTACATGGAACAAGCTAGTAAAATATGTTTCCATGTAATATGATTTGTTTAGTTTTCATTTGCTTACTGCAAATTGAGTTCAATCAGTATAAAGTCAGAAAAAAAAATCTCAATACAATGAGCTGTTTTGTGTGTTGACAAACTATTACAAAAGGAACTAGGGAAAATGCTTGAGGTATTCTTTAGCATCGCAGAAGCTTTCTAGAGCATCTATAGTTTAAAGGATAACTCTTGATTCTTTTGTTCCTCAAAAAGTACAGAATTTCAGTGTACATTATGATAGACTTTTGAGACTGCATTTTAGGTAAATTATATAGTCTCTGGATGATGACAAGAAAGCAAACTACAGCTTGTAGAAACCTAATCTTCTGTTTGCAGTTCCCTGGTACTACCACTGTCCCTACTGAACTGTATTCTGAATTATTTCCAGCAACAGCGCTCTTTGAGCAATAATCATCTTGACCCAGCCACCCAGTAGGTATAGATGAACTGAACCTTGCCTACTTTGTCCTCCCACACCTGGCACCCAGTAGGCTACACTAAAGCTTGTAGTTATTGGAACTAGAACACACCTACTCAAGTTTCCAGATCTGTAATATAGACTTCTAGAATAAGTATAAATATTCAGTGTCTCCATTGGCTTAGGCTACTATCCTATGTACTAGTCTAACAACAGTTAGGAAACCTGTGTGTCAGTGATCCTGGTTGTCACTCAAGAGATGTTAAGATTAGACATCATAGTATGCAAGCATCACTCTGACTGGATAATATAAATTGTTTGTATTTACAGTACTAGGGATTGAATCAGAGCCTTGCACTCGACAAGTGTTTCATAACTGAAATACTTGCTCCCTGCCTAAGAATAGGTCTTTAGTGTAAACTGACTTGATGCAAATATGATAGGTACTTCTGTTTATTTGCTTTTGTTACAGCTTCCTTTGCTTCATTCAACAGAGTATATTTCAGTGTTTTAAACTATAACTTTGGCACATGGTAGGCACTCAGTACAGGCCTGCTGCTGAGATCTTTATTATTTCCAGATGTCTCATGGGTGCTAAATGGCTGTTACTGGCTGGAATCTGTTGGCAGTGCTAATAATCTTCACTGAAATTCTGAAAAACCACATTATGAATTGCCTAAAACAATTTAGGTGACCATGTGGTTTTTCTTCTTTAATATGTTAATATGACTAAATATAGTAATTGATTTTTTTGTACCAGTTATTTTCACTGTGAAACCAGCCTTACATTCCTAGGATAAACCAGACCTGGTCATGTAATATTAACACATTTTATATACTACTAGATTCAGTTTGTTTACACATTGGTGATGATTTAGAAGTATGAGCTCAGCCGGGCGGTGGTGGCGCACGCCTTTAATCCCAGCACTCGGGAGGCAGAGCCAGGCGGATCTCTGTGAGTTCGAGGCCAGCCTGGGCT